CCACAATGATCCCCGCAAGACCTCTCCCCCTCCGCCGCCTCGCGGCCGCGCGACCCGTTTCCGGACTCGGAGCCACGACGGCACCCTTCGCTGCGGCGCGCCGGGTTGAGGGCCAGGTCCGGTGGAGCACGCATAACCCCAAGGAAGGCGACCTCGGTGGACCCGGTGGGCAGGAGCCTGTGCCGTCTACGAGCAGTGCCGCGCAGAGCTGGTGAGTGCACCCCGTCTCATGTGACAAGATTCTAGAGGGAATTCTCTTGTTGTTGGAGGTGTGTCCATGGTCCTGTGTTAACGTGTTTTGGGGACTAGGCCGACGTTGGTCGCTATTGCTGCTGTTGGACTCGGTGTTGGGAGCTATCTTGTTCATATGACGGGTAAGTCCAAGGGGCAGGGGACGGTGATGGAGAAGGGGGAGTTTGATAAGTTAGCGGAGAGGGTTGCGTCGAGGAAGTAGAGACTGCTGGGTTGGTGGTTGGGTCTGAATGGGCTCAAGCGTGGGTGAGGTTTGAGGGATGTTAAGGCCAAAAGCTGTAAAGGATCTGTGTAATTTCGAGATTGTGAATGAGCTCGCAGGATTTCCGGAGAAGGATTGAGTCTTTCTAGCGACGGAGGCCGATTATTTGACGTTCAAGAGGAGTGCTTCATTTAATCTAGTTTCGTATTTACTGGTGGCGACAGTTCTACCTATAGCACCCAACGTAAGCAAGACTTGTCAACTCGTTGTCTTGATTATCTCACTCGCTGTGGTTTGCAGGCTTGGAATATTGACATCGATACCACATTTCACCTCACCAGTCCCACGGCGATCTTTTTATCAGACTCCAGACGGGAGCAAGACTGTCTGAGAAGCATCTCCACGCTGTCACCCCGTCGCCTTTGAGAATTCCGGCATGAGCATTCTATTACAAAGCGAGGATCCAAGTGGAAGACATATACAGTAGAAAGTGGCTTGGTTTTTCTAAGCGAGGGACCCTGAAGGGGTCGTATCTAAATACCGTACGAAGCGGGCTGTTGTCTCGTAGTAAGTGGTATCGTACGGCAGTAAGGGGGGAACGCCACGTGTGGCGTTGCGACACATTCCTATAACGGAACTGGATCTGTATTTGAGTGAGCCCCTCGTCAACTGCTATCGTTTCTTACTCTGAAGGAGAAATGCGCTCTTCCAGCGGATGAGTGAGCTTGGGGACCAGTCTAGCCCCAAGGCAGGCCAAGGTAATAGAGGCCTACCACTCCCCGATAACCCCACCTCATGCTCCTTTAGCTTGCTGAACTTGACTCACTTAGGAGTTCCATGAATCCTGTGGAGAATTGGTCTTTCGTCAAGGGTAATGTATCTTTCGCAACTGACTTATTTACAAAAAAGGGGTCGCCTTGTTTGGTAAAACCAGCCGTCGGCCTCCCGGATAGCTTCGCCTTCGATATTCAGGGACGTCGCGAACACTAACAAGTGCTTCTCTCTATCTAATGTACATGATTGCCTGGATTGACGTTTGAGTTGTGGAAGGGAGAAAAGCCGAGGGGAGCTCAAATTGGATGAGGAGGAAACAGAGGCATAGCCGCAGATTAATGTCCACTAGAAATTCTGCATTGTTTCGTAAAGGGGGGTGCTGTGAATGATTGTGACACCAAGATCTACCGAACTTAATAGCAGCGGTATAAACCAAGCATGTTCGTCTCAAGTTCACTGCTCGAAGTTTCCTTGGACATGGGTTCGTTCTTTCTTGATGTTGTCAGTGGAGCATCCGATGCTTATTGTTCTCTTACTTAAGCGGCAACTCATCCAGACCCAGTCGAGAAACCCACCTCGAAAAGTTGTTTTCGGCCCTTTATTCATTCAACAACTCAAAATGCAAGCATGACACACATGGGGCTTAGTATTCTCTTAATTCCCTTGATTGCTTAGAAAGCCATAGCTTAGACCCGTTGTTGCTTGTTTTTTTGAGGGTTATGCCCACCTTCTCTATCTGTATTTCCGTAAACCCGTGATTTTATCAGATAGAACTTGCAGGAGTGTTGCTAAGATCCATATTTGCGAGATCCTTTCTTGATGGACATCACTTGGCGGATGCACTTGGCAACTGAGCTTAAAATTTAGTCGCCGTACCTTAGTGCACAGCGCTATATCGAAGCGACGGTCCAGAATAGCACTTTGAGCATGAGAAGGCCTCCATTGCGTGAGGTTGCAATCGTTCTCGGGCATGACGTATTATGCCAAAGCTTTCCATGGTTTCCGCCCTCAAATTTGGACGACAGTTGTCAAATCAGTCGCGAGAGCATGATTCAAACGTCCGCCACCCTGTTGCGCACTCTCCCCTCTACTCAGCCCTCATTGGCCTTACGGGGCTATGCTGGTGAGCCATGAGTAGGGGCCCCCCTGCAGGGGTCCCGCCGATCTACGCAGATATTTCCGCAGCGACGGATTCCAGATCCCAGGAACGTTGGGTTTCTGATGGTTGATAAGCATCTCGCGCCGCCAACTACCGGTGGATCGGTCCGATCAGATATGCTCTCATTGCTCTCAGCGGTTGTCGACCGGCCAATGGCATTCAGAACCGCTGAGCCCCAATTGTAACTCGGCTTCTGCGGCTACGCCGTACTCCACCCTGCCGAGTCTTGAGTAAGTTGGGCCGTATGGATTGCACTGACGAAATGGTAGGGAGCGCATAGCTTTTTCGGTCAGCTCTCGGAGGGTCATCGCAAAATCCGGTTTAACGGGGATGGTAGCTGTTTGTATCCGCGCGGGTGACGTGATTGAGGGATTTCAAGAGCTTGGATTGGTTACGATATTGTTGAATCCTCTCCTTTGGTGTTCAATGATATAAACGCTGGCCTTCGCCTTCGAGACTTTGGCGTTGGTTCGACAACCATCTCAGTGAACATTCTTTTGCCGCACTTACACTAAATCTAGACTTCAACCTTGTTCACACAGCTATGCGGGGCTTCCTCACCACATCTACCCTCCTCTCTGGAGCAGCGGCCTTGGCTGTTCGCTGTAACAACGGTTCCAGCAATGGCTACGACTACATCGTCGTCGGAGGCGGTACCAGCGGTCTGGCTGTCGCCAACCGTCTCTCAGAAGACCCTGCCGTGTCTGTCCTGATCATCGAGGCCGGTGGCTCGGTTTTCGACAACGTCAACGTCACCAACCCCAACGGGTATGGTCTTGCCTTTGGCACCGACATCGACTTCGCCTTCCAAACGACCAACCAAACTTTCGGCGGCAATTCAGTCCAGACTATGCGTGCTGCCAAGGCTTTGGGAGGAACCAGCACTATCAACGGTTTGTGGCGATCATCGGTTCAAAAGACTGGACTCAGATGCTAACAACTTGAAGGACTGGCCTACACCCGCGCTGAAGCCTCCCAGATCGACGCATGGGAGCAACTTGGCAACGAGGGCTGGAACTGGGATTCTCTCTTCCCCTACTACCTCAAGAGCGAGCACTTCCAGACCCCTGAGCCCGCCCGTCAGGTCGCCGGCCGTCTCGAGTACGAGGTCGATGTTCACGGCGAAGACGGACCCCTCCTGACCGGCTGGACCTACGGCCAGACTAACGGAACCATGCCTGCCGTTCTGAACTCGACCTTCCAGAATCTCGGTCTGCCTTGGAATGAGGACGTCAACGGCGGAAACATGGTTGGCTTCTCCGTCTTCCCCCGCACCGTCGACCAGGCCAACGCCGTCCGTGAGGATGCCGCCCGCGCCTACTACTACCCCTATCAGAACCGAACCAACCTCAAGGTCCTTCTGAACACCAGCGCCCAGAAGCTCACCTGGAAGAACACCGCTGCTCTCCCCACCGCCGATGGTGTTCAGATCGTCTCCGCCGATGGCTCCAGCAGCGTCGTCAAGGCCAACAAGGAGGTCATCCTCTCCGCCGGTGCTCTTGTTTCCCCCTTGCTCCTCGAGCTCTCCGGTGTCGGCAGCGCCAACGTCCTGAAGCAGCACGGCATCAAGACCGTCGTCGACCTCCCTACCGTCGGCGAGAACCTGCAGGACCAGATGAACAACGGCCTCTCCTTCGACATGAAGAACATGAGCATCGACGGCACCCTCACCACCGTCGCCTACCCCTCCGTCGCCCACGTCTTCGACAACGCCGACGAGGTCGCGGCCCAGATCAAGGAGGCCCTCCCCGCCTACGCCGCAAAGGTCGCCTCTGTCAACGGCAACGTCACCCGCGCCTCGGACCTCCTGGAGTTCTTCCAGCTGCAGTGGTCCCTCATCTTCGAGTCCCAAATCCCCATCGCCGAGGTCCTCGTTAACGCCGGCTCGGGATCCTGGAGCAGCGAGTACTGGGGACTCCTCCCCTTTGCCCGCGGCAGCGTCCACATTGGTGGCAATTCCACCTCCCGCGCCGTCATCAACCCCAACTACTTCATGCTGGACTGGGATCTGCTCGAGCAGGTCGAGATTGCAAAGTACATCCGCAAGCTGTACAGCAACGCACCCTTCTCCACATACACTGGCACCGAGACCCGTCCCGGCACGGACGTCGTCGCTGCCGATGCCGATGATGTCGCGGGCTGGGAGAGCTACATCAAGGGCAACTACCGTTCCAACTTCCACCCCGTTGGTACCGCTGCCATGATGCCCCGCGAGAAGGGCGGTGTTGTTGACTCCAGCCTCAAGGTCTACGGTACCGCCAACGTCCGCGTTGTCGACGCCTCTGTCCTGCCTTTCCAGGTGTGCGGTCACCTTGTCAGCACCTTGTACGCTGTTGCCGAGAGAGCGGCGGACCTTATTGCCAAGAGCTCGTAAAGAGGCTATAAGTTCTCAAGACGACTCGACTCGGTCGAATTCGACCATTCCTTTTTCACATTTCTCAGTAAATATTTTAAGCACAATCAGATGTTCATATCCATAGAGTAGAGTGTACAAAAGTCACGCGACTTAGTCAATCAAATTCGAGTTTAGATCGTATCTCTATATCCGCATGGAAACCAATCCAAGGTCACTGAATCCTCGCATGGCTGTCGAAGATTTCTTACAGAAAGCTCCTAAGAAACGGTATAGACAACCTTCTCTCCACTAACAGGACGCATGTGATCCTTCGGCGGCTCATTGACCTGCTTCGGACCAAAGAGCGGGATGCCTTCCGATGCGATGTTCTCTAGTCCTCCTCGCATCATGCGAACCGGGTTTGCCTGCAACTTGACCTTTCCCAACGACGCTTCCGATCCGAGATAGTTATAGAACTGTGTTGCAAACTCACGGGCTTCGAGGTTGGCTGGGAATGTGATGCCTATAGATTGTCAACCAAGGAGGCCCATCATGGATCAGTTAGCAAAAAGCCTGAGGTCACTCACCTTGGAACTGGATCTCTACGCCAAGACCCTCCCAGACTGCACCTGTCACCGGCTTGATACTGAGCTTCGATGGATCAAACCCTGCGAGGGCCGGTGCTCGGAACACCGCCAGCTTTCCCTCGCTGACCAACGTATCGTGCACACGTTCGACAGACGGAGTCTGTGAGACCGCGTCTATGCCGTAATGAACTCCGCCACTTATGCGACAAACTTTGCGTACCGTTGCTTGCCATTCAGTATCTCTGTAGTCAACTAGCTCGTCGTACGAGTAAGGGGCTTGGCGCAGCATGCCGTGTTTTGCACTGCTGGCGGCACCGATGAGACGGATCTGAGTGCCGAAAGTTTTCTCAGCCAGGCGCACAAGCTGTGCGGCAAAGAGACCTAAGGATGTTGTTGCCCCGTAGATGAAGACATTTACGGGCTCTTCGTTGGCGAGTCTGAGGTGGTCGAAACTTCGGGGTTGGGTGAATGGCCCCGGGAGCTCGAGTCGGCTGAAGACACCTTGCGCGGCTGTAAGTCCACACAAGCTGACAGTAGCAGCTTCTTGGAACGACATCTCGATGGGAATATTCCATGTGAGGTCATAGTCAATGACGACGTACTCGGCAAAAGCTCCCGGGCGGGAGTTGACAGAACAAGCTACATATGCATAGTCAATACATCAATGGTCTATTCAAACGTCCTGGGTTGTTCAACTGACCGCCTTGAACGAAGCCAGCTACATGTGTTCCAATCTTGACACGGGGATCATCGATGTTCTGGATGTCTGTGCCAACACTGGCGACCTCCCCAGCGAAGTCACTACCGACTACACGGTACTCTTGTGCCGCAATTGGCTTGTTTATATAGAGCGCGTCTACATGATTGAGCGCAACTGCTCTGACGCGGACGAGAATTTCTCTTGGTCCAGGTTCCGGAGCCGGGATATCTTGTACAGCAACGGATTGATCCTTTGATTTTAAAATCAAGGCTTTCATGGTGATATCAGGACCGCAACTTGAGGCTCGTTTTCGGGATCAAGGGATTGTGAATATCGAATGAAGTTTATTCAGATTTTCTCCAAGATGGATAATGATAGAATCTATATATGACTAGGTACTTAGGTACTTTACTATAGACTTAGAAGAAATCAAAAGCTAGATCATACGATCAAACAACTTGGCTTTCGAACTCGGTCTACCGATGTCGCGAGAACGAGCAAGTCCGCGGACTTGATGTGTAAACCCCGGTCTTCAAGCTGACGACATGGACTTAATTGCCCTGCTTTGTGAATTTAAGTCCGACCTTGTCTCCAGCACGCATAAACGGACCTTGCTTGAGTCAGTTATCGCGAAGGCTAAAAACTTGTAGTCTTCTGATCTTGGGAACCTTGAGAGGTTGCCACAAGACTTCACTGTTTAATCGCGTGGAGGTAAACAGCAACTTCAGGATTGAACATGCGATCTTCGACAAGGTAGTCCGCTGCCTCCACCAGCCATGTTTGGCAGTCCTTGAGAGTGGCCTTTTTACCTGACGTATCCTTGAAATTTCTGTTAGTCAAGTATTCCGAAGGCATTGCAGAAACAGATGTTTGCAAAAAAGCACCTCTGAGGACCTGCCTACTAGGCAATCATACACGCATGAAGTGGTCTGTTCAGAGGTATTGCAGCCATTTGGAGAAGTCAAGCGAAAGCCTCACCTTGTCTTCAACTGCATTCAAAGTTTTCCCAGGGGCCTTCGCTTTGTACGCACTAGCCTCAAAACCGCAGACAGGCCTCTCATCAATCTCTTCCACTCCCCAGTTGAGCATCGCGTCTTCTTTAAAGTGCTGAGCATCAACCCACTGCAGCGAAACTCTTTTTGTAGGGATATCTGAGGTGTTTGTGAGGTCATGACTGCGTTTGACCTCGAATTTGAAGCCATTACGCACATCACCGGTCGCGTGGATCTTGACACCGATATCATCATCGGCGCGAGAGCGTACAAAGTATGCCCAGTGATCTTTGAATGGCGAGCCATTGAAGATCAGTAATTCGACCAAGAAAGCTCCAGGGGATCCTGTCGGGGGCACGGTTGGCGGCGGTGGGGCCGGAGCCGGAGTTCGAGCCTTTTCGACAAGCGGCCGGGGCGGAGGTGGCGGAACATCGCCAGTGTGAGAGAAAGACATTCTGAGATAATTGGTGGCGTTTTTAAGTGTTTGTTACTAATGCCTTGTAAAACAGCTGACGTGAGTCTTCAATGTTGAAGTTGAGGCTTCTTGATCTTGTTGGACACCTTCGTGCACAATCAGGCAGCAACAGCACGCGCTATGGACCTCAACACAATGTCTCAAGATTTCTTTGTTGCCTAGGGATCGCTTGAGCCACGCCACGCCATTGGCTCAGTGGATTCGGCCTGTATGTGTAGCCTTCATCGTCGTGTCTGGATGTTATAGTGACTAGAAGACGGTCAACGGGTGGAATGTGAAGATGAGCAAGAAGCTGCCAGTTGTTGAATGTTGCGGGAGACAGACTGTGCTGTGACGAGCATCCGCTTTGTCACTGCAGCTCATTCATCTGCGGCGCTCAATGAAACAGAAGATGTCTAGGCGCTCTTATCTATTTATTCAATGCTTGGTCGCTTGGTGGTAATCTGACGTCTACTCTGTCCGAGGCTTCACCGAGAACTCGTTTCCACGAAAGTCAAATGAGAGGATTCGAAAACTTTACTAGGTTTGCAGAGGAGGCTATCACGTGAAGGAATTGTTTGTAGACTTTTTGGTTTAGGATATTGAGTCTATAAATCTACCAATTTCGTTGAGGATATCCAAAGCAACGCTCGCTATATAAAACATGACATATTAAGATATTGGTATGATTTTCCCATGAAACATGAAACTGTAATGGTTGAGGCCATTAACTTATTGGGCCGCCGTCTCCTTTCCCTTGGACTCCTTCTTGGGCTTGGACGAGCCGGAGTTCCACTTCTTGACGCGGACGAGGTAGTAAGAGATAACAGCAATGAAGATGTTGAAGAAAATGAAAGCCCAGACGATACCGAAGTTGCGCCAGCGCTCATCATAGAAGATGTTGCTGCCGGCCAAGTACTGATCGGCATTGCTGAGAGAGCAGTACCGGCAAGCCTCAGTAGCCTCGGGGTTCTGGAGCTGGCCGGGGGCGAGCTTTAGGTAATCCGCCAGGTACTCGCCGCATGTCAGGTTGGCAGGCGGGTTGAAGACAGAAGTCTCGGTGGCGGAACAAGTGACGGGTCGGCCGGACAGTTGGGTACCCACGATGCCAGCAACCCAGTAGGTGAAGGGGGACACGCGGTACATGAAGATCCAGAAGCCGGGGAGGGCAGTCGGGGACTGCAAGACACCGCAGAAGGTCAAACTCATGAGGACCAAGAGAGTAACCACGCCTGAGGCGGTCTGGGCATCGGGGAAGGCAGCGATGGTCATGTGGGCGAAGGAGGACGCATAGATCAGGAGCTGGATGGCGTAGAGCATGACCAAGACCTGGCGGACGGAGCCCTGGATGCCGATGATGGGGTAGTAGAAGCAAGCCCAGATGAGGATACCGGTGACGATTTGGTAGGGGATTTCGACAATGATGTTGGCGAACATGAATGCCTTCCAAGAGTAAGCCTTGCTGGGGCGTTCGCGGACCTCGTAGAGGGCACGCTGTGTGACGAAGTGAGGCTGGATCTGCTGCACGATGGTGGAGAAGATGGTGATGACCATGAAGACACCAAAGACAACGTTTTGCATGCCGGCCATGGTACCATCGGCCTTCCAGAAGGAGAAACCAATGAAGAGACCTGCAGCGATACCGAGGAAGAACTTGGCGAAGACGTAGTTGGGCATGCGCCAGTACTGCTGGAAGACACGACCGGTGACCTCCATAAGCTGGGTGCTGAAGGGCATGGCAAACTCAGAGTGGGCACCAGCATCTTCGCTACCAGCGACCTCCTCGTGCTGCTTCTCGAGGTGGATTCTCTCGATCTCGGCCTCGACGCCGTGGCGTTCATTGCTAGATTTCCAGACGCTGTGCCAGTCTTCGCCCCTGGAGTTGGTACCGTTGTTGACAATCTCGAGCATGTACTCAGCGGGGTTCTCCTCATCACCGCATCGGCGAGCGCCGTGGCCCTCGAAGTAGTTGAGAAGGGTGCGGGAGTTGTCGCCGATATCACCAAAGTAGACAGTCTTACCGCCGCGGGCGAGGAAGAGCAGGCGGTCGAATTGCTGGAAGAGGATGGCGCTGGGCTGATGAACGGTGCAGAGAACGGCTTGACCGGCATCGGCCAGCTTGCGGAGGAAAGCGCAGATGGCCCAGGAGCTCTGGGAGTCGAGACCACTGGTAGGCTCATCAAGGAAGAGAAGAAGCTTAGGCTTAGCTGCCAATTCGACACCGATGGTAAGAAGCTTGCGCTGTTCGACGTTCAAGCCCTCGCCGGGAACACCAACGACGGCGTCGGCAAAGTCGCGCATGTTGAGCATGTCAATAACCTCCTCGACGAAAGCGAACTTCTCCTCCTTGGAAACAGTCTTGGGCTGGCGAAGCATGGCGCTGAAGCGCAAGCTCTCGCGGACGGTGGCGGTAGCCAAGTGGAGATCTGGTTAATGTTAGTTGAATGTTCAAACAATGTTGAGAAGGAGAAGCCGCATACCTTGCTGCTGAACGTAGCCAGTCTTACGTTGGAAGCTGGCGTCAAGAGGCTTGCCGTTGACAAACATGTCGCCAGTGATGACACCCATGGTAGTTCGCTGAGCCAAGACATCGAGAAGAGTCGTCTTTCCGGCGCCGGAGACACCCATGAGGGCAGTGAGAGTTCCGGGCTTCACCCAGCCATCGACGTGGTCAAGCAGACGACGGGGTTCACCCTTGATCTCAATATCGTAGACGACGTCTTTCCAAGTGAAAATATCCTTCTGGGGCGGGATTGAGTTGACGTTGGCCTCAGTCTCCTGGTCCTTGGGAACAGCCATCTCCTCGTTGGTGACGCTGCGGTTGACGCCATCCTGAAGATGAGCAGGGACGCGGCCACGCTGGAAGACGAGAACCTCGGCGGCGCTGGTGGTGGAGGAGTTGAGCTCAGTAGCGACGAAGTAGATGATCATGAAGAAGAAGAGGAAAGCCAGCAAGATGCCAAAGTTGCGCCAGACGTGGGAGTAGTAGTACTGGTAGTTGGTCTCGATGAAAGCATCGCCACTAACGGTGCGCTGGCCAGCGACAGCGCCGACAGCCGAGCAGATCCAAGAGTCGCCAATCAGAGGTGTGTATGCGGGGATAATCTCGGAGCAGACGAACTCGCGGCCGTGGAACTCGTTGGCGATGAGAATCTCGAAGGCGTAGAAGATGGGGTTGATCCAGCGAATCCAACCAAACCAGTCAACCATCTGGGGAACTCTGATGACAAAACCAGTGTAGATGACAAGAGCCAAGACAAGCACACCAGCCAACATCATAGCCTGAGAAATAGTCTTAGTGATGGCTGCCATAGTTCTGAAGACGGCGCTCATGACGAAGGTGGAGATATAGGTGATCAAGAAGTACAGGAAGAATTGACCGGGTTCCCGACGCAGACCAGCGAGGAAGTACAAGATGAGGTTGAAACAGGTTGCCGTGACGAACTTGATCGGGATATCTGCGACGATACCGGCGATAGCTTCAGCTGATGGATGATAGAAGGCGTAGGAAGCATGCTTTTCGACAATGGGCCGCTGATCGTATAAACTGTTGATTTCGGAAATAGCAGTGAGAGCGTTCATGAGAATAGCCTGGAACAAGACCGAACCCTTGGAGTAGAAACCTGAAGTAGCGTCAGGAGTGCCGTAGAAGACCGAACCGATGATGAGAGCCAAGATGATGTTGAGAACAGCCGCTGTAGCTGTAGCCGAGATATCGTTCCAAATACGCTGATAAGCGCGCTTCGTGGTAAGTCGCACTTGCATCGCCAAACTGATGAGGTAAGGAGACTTGGGGCGAACATGCTTCGCCTGTCTGTCGTTCTTCTGCTGGCGAAGCTCAGTGAGAGCATGACCGTGGGGGTCAATCGGGTTCTCGTCGGTGTGCTGCTCGATCTCCTGGCGGAGAGCTTGGTACTCGGGAGATGCACGCCAGTATGCCTCAAAGTCCTCGGGGGTTCTGGGAACCTGGTTCTCCATGCCCGGACGAGCCTTGCGCTCGATGGGGTTGGTGACCGAGGTCAAGAAGTCTCCTGTGGTCTGACGCTGGGGGCATTCCCAACCCATGCGCTCGAAGTAGGACTTAGCAGCAGTGGCAGGGCCGAAGAAGATCTGGCGACCTTCGTAAAGAACGACAGCCTTATCGAAGAGGTCATAGATGGCCTGACTGGCTTGGTAGATGGCAACAGCGTTGGCACTGCCGGTGAAGTCGGAGGCAAGGCGCAGCGACTGAACGAACTTCAGAGCGGTCGCGGAATCCAAGCCACGAGTACTGTTATCCCATGCGCACATGGGAGAGCCAGCAAGCATCATCTCAGCGATGGAGACACGCTTTCTCTCTCCGCCAGAGACGCCACGAACGAAGTCGTTTCCGACCTTGGTATTGTAGGTGTGGCTGAGACCACAGACTGCCATAACAACCTGGGCTCCTCTCTTGTGAGCCTCCTCGCGACTAAGACCCAAGGGTCTGTTGGATGGTGTGCGAACTGCGCCGGCAAATTCGAGTGTTTGACCGACGGTAAGATGGGGGAAATGTTTGTCAACCTGTGTCGAATGTTGTTAGTGAATATCAAACAAAACATTGGGGCGTGGGAACGAACCTCCTGATTGTAAACGGTTTCTCCCTTAAACTCCTTCATCATCTTCTTTTGTGGGATGCCGTTGTAGTGGATAACGGACTCGTCTCCAATGCTCAGACCCTGGAGTTCACCAGTCATCGTCTTCAGGAGTGTACTGCATCCAGAACCAGGGCGACCAAGAACGATCAAAAGCTCGCCGCTCTTGAGCAGGCCATCGAAGCTGTTGAGAATCCTCTTAGGCTCCTTCTTTCCGAAGCTAATGTGCTCGCCGATTCTGAGAGGTGCTTGAAGGAAGTCACCAACGGTCTGTTGCAGCTGCAAAGCAGCGCCAGTACCAGAAACGTTGAGATCCTTGTAGGCGACACCAGCATGCTTGAGGGTGATTCCCTCATTCTGCATGGCTCGCATGAAAGCCTGGAGCCATTTTGAAAGATCAAAAGACTTGCTTGCAGGGTCCAAGGCGGGATCGTCTTGGCCGTAAGAGATATGTGTCGAAAGAGGACGGCCATTGCTGGCCAAACTTTGATGCCGCGAAAGGTTTGTTGCGATTCTCTGAAGTTCCCTCCTATCCTCCTCATCGATCATCATCGTATCGCGGTGGGTATCTCTCGTAGGGCTGGAAATGTCTCCATATTCTTCATCGGAGGAATCGCCATTCTTTCCCGTGTTGATGGGAGCAAAGCCGCCAGTGGGCTGCTCGGATGATGTTCGTTGTTCTCCGTTCATTGTGACTGAAGAGGTAGTTGTGCCGTAGCTGCCTCGGGTTGCTGTTCTGTCCTCCATGGTTGTAGATGTGATGACCAGGGGCGAAGCTCAGATGAGCTGGAAATTAAGGTTGTTGGTATTAGTCGCACAGCCGATTGGTGATGGTGCTGGAGTGTTTGCTAAAGTATGTTGCAATGTGTAAGATGCTCACAGACTGTATGGAATATTCGATGAAGACTAAAAAGCGAAATTGGGATGTATGGGTTTCGGATGACTATATTATATCAAGAACCCATAGTAGAAGCAGATCTACGGTGTACGCTTGCGGACATGGCCAACCTCCCGGGGCCACCGAGCTAGAGCCGTGATCCCGCCAAGCCAGCTGGGCTCTGAGTTTGTTGCGCGACTCTAGCAGACGGCCGAGACCAGTTGGTGCGGAGTTCGCAGTGCTCCCGCCGACCGGCCGGCCGGTGGCTATGAGGTCACCCCTTGCCAAACATGAAGGCATTCTCCCGGGTCAGTACTCTAACCCCGAACTGTTGCGCACAAGATGTGTAAGCTAGGGGAGAAAGCGAGCGTGTTCCTAGCGCACGGAGTGCATGTTGGGCTTTCCGAGTTCCCACCAGCATGGATGGCGGAGCGGGCGGGCTGTTGTCTGCCATCACAGTCCGTCCCCGACTCGGGGACTTGGAGTGACCCGAGGGGCTCGATAACTCTTCTAGCTTGGGTGCAAGAGCCATGCTGCGGCCCTAGAGACGAGTCAGAAGCTAGGCTTTGCTAAGCTTGCTAAGCCCTTTACGGTCAGAACATGGGCTAACTGTGGTCGAGACGCTCTGCTGTTTTCCGATTGCATCATGGTGGCTCCCAGTTTGGCCCCGTTTTGTCTCTGGCACTCAGCCAAGCATGCGATTCTGTCGCGTAGGCCCACCGTACATCTCTGCGTTGCTCGTAAATCTGGCGTCACATCGGGATGGGGCCACCGGCAGACATACGGGAGATTTACGCTGGGCAGGGCTGCGGCTGTTCACAGCGCACCGAAATGAAGCTTACGCAGTAACGCAGTACGGATACGCATTCCACCAACGGAACACCCGTCCCCGAGGTACCGATGATTGTCACTGAGTGGGTATTTTGTGTCGGAGTTTGCAAGTTGTGGATTGTTGATTGATAAAGACCAGAAATTTCCCCCTTACTTCTAGAAGATGCTTATCGTTTCTGTCGCTGTGTTGCGGATTTTAGGTTTCGATAACCCAGCGCAGTTGTTGTGATCAATTTGAGAAGTTGAGCCAGATTCTCCAGCGAGCTAAACAAAACTGCGAGTCCGTCGCCCCCAAGTAGACGTCACTTTGCAGCTACCGAAGTTCGGTGCATAAGACTTAGATGTTAGACCCATCGTTGTGAGATTCAACTTCAGATGGAACTAGGGATTCCGACTAGCGAATGTGCATTATTATTCAGCATCATTGAGTGTTTCCACGTGAGGTGGGCGAAACATACATAATTCTCAACTGATGTGAATCACCCCTTTTTGATCCTTTTCCACATTCTCGGGTCCCGGGGTCCTGCAATCGGCTGAAATATCAGACCGCTGAGTCAGGTCTTGCATTGCAGGTCAAATCGTATGTAGTGCGCTGCGCGACGACGCAGATCGTCCCTCCCGAACGACCGAGAATTTCCTAGGAATCTCCCCGCAGCATAAGCTTCGACTAGAGGGGAAGTCCAGAACCTCTTTTTGAGCGGCGTTGACGTGGTTTTCTCTTCATACTTCGGTAAGCATTAAGATGGCATCTCTTGGCAGAAAAAGTCCGCTGCCAAGTAGAGTTTCCGCTGCGTCACTGGAAACTCTGTTGGTCATCTCGCAAAGCGAGAAGCTTCTGGCTGGAGAGGAACGGGGAGGGTTACTCATCAACCCGTTTGCTCCGTTGTCCCGGTAGTTCCCCCAATTCCCCTTTTTCGGTTTCCTATTTACTCCTTTTTGACACCCACTTTGCCGATCTTTCTGAGTCCCCAAACCGTCACAAACAAGGTTGCGCCGTAAAGCGCAAAGCAGTACCAAAACGACGCCCGGTAACCCTCCAACAACGCCATCGGGCTCTCCTTGTCGGCGAGGTTCGACCGGGCAGTCACGGCACTCGCAATGGCGCCCGATGAAGCCAGCCCTACGCTTTTACCGATTTGGGCAATGGCGTTGTATACTCCTCCGGCCACGGCCTGCTTCTTGGCCGGAAACAGCGATGTGATCAGCAGATTAGAGATTGTGAATAACGTGTCAGCGCCAATAGCGTTCATAAACATTGCCCAGAAGACGCAGATCCAATAAGACCACGCGGGGTCAGCGATCGCCATCAATAGCGGCGACAAGCACGCCAGGGCGACGGCGATGAGAATCGCTAGGTCTGCCCGGACGCGGTGGACCACGAGACCGGCGACGATGTTGGCCAGGACTCCGCCCACGGGAGCCGGCAAGAAGCGCACCGATGTGTCGATTGCGGTGAGCCGCTGCACGTATTGGAAGTAAAACGAGCTGAGCTGCTCGGTCGCGTTGAAGGCACCCCATACCATGAAGACACTGATGCAGATGCAAGTGAAGCTGCGGTTCTTCCAGAGTGAGTTTGGGATTATGGCTGGTTTACCCAAGCGCTCTTGTCTTTCTACCCAGGCAACGAACCCGCCGATTAGCACGGCAGAGATGGCGAGTAGCGCGATATTCTCTGGTTTCTTGATATCCTGAGTGCTGTCGGTGATCGCACTGTCAACGTCCTGTTAGTTGATCTCGCTCTCCAAGCAGAGGGCGCATGCCAGACTCACGCAAGCACATAAGAGACCATTGAGAGGAAGGCACTGGCTAGGAATGCTCCAACCCAGTCAACCTCGGTCCTGAACCTGTGCCAAGTGACCGGATCTCTCTTGCCGATGCCAGGCAACCACTTCAGCGCAATAAAGAAGATGATTGTGTTGATGATTGCGGCGATGTGGAATCCCCATCTCCAGCCAATCGTGTCTGTGAACACACCACCAACACTGAGGCCAACAGAGAACCCAATTGGTTGGCCTCCGCCCATTGATGCAAAGGCGATATTTCTTCTCTTGCCCGTGGGGAACGCGTGCGTTATGATACTAACGGCGGATGGGAGGCACATGGAGATGGCAATTCCGGCAAAGGCACGGAACATGATGAGCTGGATCCCCGTGTTCGCCAGCCCACAGGCAAGGGTGAAGACTGATTGCAAGAAACATCCCATAAGATAGAGTGTTCGAGCACCGTAGAGATCGGCCATGGCGCCAGACAGCAGTAGTGTGCATCCGCAGGTCAGGGCGTAAACAGAGGCAGGCCTTGTTACTATCAGAATGAGTGTACAACGACATGGGTCTTTTAGCATTAGTCCCTACCATAAGAGAAGGTTGCCATCAAGATGAACATCTCGAGCCATGGCCGGAATGCAGACAGTAACTATGCCGGCCAGAAGGGAGCTAATGCCTGTAATACAGGTCACTGAGGAGATGACAACCATGGTTTTACCCTTTGAAAGGTCGCCATTTTGACCATTCTCGGGGGAAACAGTAGTCGGGTCCAGCGACTGCGATAATGTTGATGTGGAAGCTGAGAGTTGTGGCAGTGGTGTTGCTGGTGCGTTGACCAGCTCCACTGTGGTCGTGGTCGACATCGTGAGTTTCTAGTTTGGTGGTTGGTGACTTATGGCCTTGAACCACCAAGCAGGCAGGCTGCACTCTTCACTTATTCAACTGTGGACTGAACAGAAACAATGGGGATACTGTCATTTCAGAGGGAGTACAGGGCGCAGAAGACGCATTTTCATTATGCAATTGCGCAAATTTTTGACCAACCTGCCCGATCTCGGCCGAAGTGGACGGACCACCGAGTTGGCCCATTTTCGGGGAGGTAGTAACATAATAACATTGACACCGTTCGAAATTTACTGAGTCGCCATGACTAATGGCCACAGTCGAAATAACCACCAAGGTAGATTGGTATTTCTGTTGGTGTTCACGGGGTAGAGATGCCTGAGTCTTGCTGGGAATGCAGCGACTTTAAAGGGCGTTGATTGATTTTGGGGGTCTATGGGATGAGATAGTATCGCGCCATTATATTATTAAACTCCTCGGGACCAAAACAACCCAACCTTTATAGTCATGTCTCGTAAAACTAGGTCGTCAAGCAGTCATAAACATCCATCTCGAGACCTGCCTGCTTTCCTAATACACTTTCCTACGATCGGAGATTTTTACAAACATTTCAGCATCCGAAGGCTGGAATTCAAAGTTCCGAATGAGCTAACGCATAGGATTAGCACAAGCAGCCGTATCGTGCAATCAGATCAGGATGAATTGCTCACCTGGACAAATATCTTGTTCAATTCCAAGAAAGCCACAGACTTGCCTGTGCATCGCCATCGGCCAGCGCCAAACACGAGCTCAGTCTGTTTCTTCCACGACTTGACCGTCTCAGCATCGGCCTCAAGCCATCACTCAGGCCGGAATACCTCAGCATCTTGGCCAAAGAGTCTCTTGTCGTGGGTCGCCGACGTCACGTCGTGCCCAATCCTGGTGCCTGCAGGCAGCTTGATACCATTATAGATATCACCCTCGGGCCCAACCTGCTTCATTACCAGACCAGCAAAAGGTGGTTTCACACGGAGGGACTCGTATATGATTGCCTGTTTTCGACAATGATTAGTAGACGGTTTCAAGGTAAACTGAACAGACCGGCTCTTCCTACTCTGACTTACTTGAAGATATGGCAGTTCCTGAGCTTCTTTATATGTGATGGGGTCTGATATCCTTCCTTCTGAGACTGCGTCCTCAACCTCCTTTATAAGCGACTCATACACAGAGAGGTCAGAAAGAATATAGAGCATCGTCCATTTTATGGCCTTTGCTGCTGTGTCAGAGCCAGCAACCATCGGGAACATGATTTCGGACTGTGCTGAGCGCTGATCAAGGCCGCGACGTATGAATGACCCCTGTCGAGTTCGCGTTAGTGGACTACAAAAGTCTCTTTAGGCCATCTTAAAGCAGTTGATAACTTACAAGTAAGTCAGGCTCATCCTTCCCGTCAGGACCAAATCGAGCGGCAACGTGTTCTTTGGCAAGTCTGTCCACATTAGTTTTGTTATTCTGGCAGAGGCGACGGAACAAAACATGCATAGCAAATGCAAAGACTTACCCCATGATCTTTCCAAAGCCATTCTTATCTGTAGCCTTGGGGCCAAGAAGCCGTAGAGCAATATCCGATGTGAAAATCCGTTGGAGCGGCGGAATATCCGTGAAGAACTGCAAGATGTCTATGGCCAAGTTTGACATAGCAACCAACCCAAAGACGTCTGAATTTTTCCGAAGAAGCCCAAGGGGCTGTCCGAACGACATCCTCGAGCGAGCATCCATAGCGTAGTAGTGCGCCAGTCGACCAAAGTCAACAGGCTTCTGCTCCGGAAGCCCTTTGCTCTCTGCATTTTCTGCTCCCAGAGGAGAGAGCTTGGTGGCATAACTTTCTCGAATCAAGCTCATCAAATCCGATATACCGGAGTCAATACTGGCTTCTAACCCAGGAATATCTTTGCCTTGGTATCCCGGTTGAAGCTTTGTTCTCAAGGCATGATGGACAGACTTATCGAGTACGCTGCCCATCATATCGTGATATGGGTCCAGCCGGGTGGCTTTGTACCAGCTGCTCCGTCCATAAGTTGACTTGGCCGCCGACATGCGCCTGATGAGTTGTACATCAGACGTAATCAAGTCATTGGGGCCAATGCGGACAAGCTCGCCATATTTTGTCGATAGGTTAACGTACTCTAGGTACCCTCGAGAGCCTCGAGTGCGGATCCGAAACATAGACCAATAAGATAGGGAAGAGAGAAAAGGGCCAGGGATATGCGATAAACGAAACCACGATCTCAAGGTGGTGATAATCAAGTACACGGAAACTATGAGACCGAGGAATTGGCCAAGCGATTTCCAAGGTAACGTAATTGCGGACTGATACAGTAGAGGAAGCATTTTCTCGATATAAAATTGTCAAGGACGACTCGAAATGAGAAGCGGGGATGCCTTCCGATTGAAGAAGACGAATACAGAGTTTAGGCATCACTTTAGAACTTGCTATAAAGCAGGCAGAAAAATCAATATTTCCAGTCCATTTTGGTACCCCTTGTAACCCAACACCCATGATAATATTGAAGGAGTGGATATCGCGATTATCCAGGGCTAGACCGGCTTACGCCGAGCTAGCGCGCTGCGTCGCTGACCGTAAGCTCGCACCGACAACCTATGATAAGACGAGCTGAGAACTATTAGTGTGATGGGGATGCATTGATTCCTTCCTTCCGCATACCGTGGGGCCTCATGTCTGCAAGATGGAAGATTTGAGGCAGCCAATATGCCCCTTTGCGGCGGTGAAGAGACAGGGTCCATTCCGTGTATCCGTACTGATCAATGATATTCAGGCTGTATGACTCGGGGTGGCTCCTCTTCAAACGACAAAGACTTGAAAAGATACAGTGGGCCTTGTCTCCTCCACTGGTTGGTGAACTCGGACTTTGATCAGCATCACAGACTGCAGCCTATGTGATAGCAATATGCTTCAACCACCGATGGTAGTCCAGACCGATCAACTTGATCAAGGCGCGGATCTTCGGCAAACGCTGTCATGTCTGATCCCCACGTTTCTAAATGCCATCAACTACGTCTCGCCTCCAGAAGTTGACAAGAAAGCATTGAGGACAGCTCTCCTCGACAGAGCTCTCCGGGGCGGTGTCCATCTCGAAGCCGACGATGCCTCGCAAATGCGATTCGAGGCCGGACTAGCTGTCGCTGCCGTAGGCTCTACATTAACGTGCTCCCCTTGACACTTCTGAACTCTCTCGATAGGAAATGTATCCTCTCCACCCCCTCGAAGTCCAGATCCACATCGGTCTCTTCACCTGGTACGGCTTCATCATCGACGACAAGAACGTCGAGCTAGGGCCAGACCTAGAACAATTCCAGACACGGCTTCTGATGGGAGAACAGCAGCCCTCGGCAATTTTACAAGCTTTTGCCGAAGTGCTCAAGTCGACGAAGAAGTACTACGACCCAATAGTCGCCAACTTAATCGTGCTATCCGCTCTAGCCTTTGTCAACTCCAACGCTATTGAGATCCGGCCGCAGTACCACACAATCGTCCTGTCAAAAGAGACAGTCAGCTGGCCCTACTATTTTCGAGATAAAGAGGGCCTTCCAGAGGTGTATACCTATTTCTGCTTCTACAAGGAGACATGTCCGGATATCGCGTGCTTCCTGCCGGCTGCGCCCGAGATGGGCAAGTTTATCAATCTGACCAATGACATATTATCGTAAGTGCTCGTCCCTTCACTTATGATGACCGAAAAGCATCTAGAATCCTAACATGGAATTGCAGATTTTACAAGGAGGAAAAGGCAGGTGAAATCAGGAACTATATCCATAAACAAGCCTTGAGTCTAAACCAAAGTCCCTTGTCTATACTAGAATCCGCCATTCTGGAAACCGTAGTTGCGTACAATCGGTCCAGGGCAATTCTGAAGAACAGTCATCTGTACGAGGGCATATGGCACGCTTACGCCATGGGATATGTAGCTATGCACTTGAATACCCGGCGCTACTACCTTTCTGAGATAGTACCGTAGATTTCTCTGCCGCCTAATAAACCTTTCTTCAATCCAAAGTATAGCATACTGTATAGATAGTCACGTTCTCCACAAATGACAACTGAGTAACTTTCTATATTGGAGTCTCGTTTAGCACCAGGCACAAATCCCCGGCGCCATGGTGCCAAGTAACGTCGGACTGGCTGCGGGTGTTCGGCTCTTACAGGATCCCGATCTTCGCCCCCGGGCCCCTGCAGCCGTCGCTGTCCATGTCGAGACCGGAACCGAAAGCGGGCGTGCGCGCGTCGGGATGCGTCTGGGTTTCCACGCCTGTTATTATTCGCGCGATGACGTGCGAATTGCATTTCGTGGGTGATTTCTCATTGTTGATGGCGTTCTCCGAGGCACCCTAAGATGATGTGCAAAATATACTGTTGAGAACTTGGTAGATAAGACTTCCAAGCAACAGGGGCCCATACGAAATTTTGAGATGGGATCTCAGCCCTCAGCTCTTTACCTTCCCCCAGATAACTATTAGTAGTGAGAGAACGGCTTCGTTTGAACGATTTCCGATTGTCCCATTCACATATAAACTGCAGAGTCATTCTTGGGTTACATCTCGGAGTGAAAATGTTTCCTCGAGATGTCGGAGGAGTGACAGAGCATATCTGCCTTCGCGGACTTTGATAGTGACGAGAGTTGGTTCGTTCCAGCTGAGGCTGCAATGTCATGGTTGCATCCATTTCAGTCGACAACGTCGTGAAGAGATTGTCTGAAATTGAGTAGTTCTTTCTTGGTGGTCCCTGGGATATCCTTTCTACAAGACAAGATAGATACGCCAGTCCCAATGCTGCAAGTATTTGTACATTATTACACATCTTTATACACTCTCAACCGCCTCTCGCGTAGGGAAAGCCATCAGAGCCCAGACGGAAGCGGTCCAATGCCCTCCTCTCTCAAGCTAACCCAACACCCCTCAAAGCCCTCATCTTTACGCCCTCCCAGCTATTCAGCTTCGGCCTCACGTCCAGGTAGAAGCTGGGCTTGCCGCGTGCGTCGGGGCGTCCGGCGTAGAAGTCAATGACGTACTCGACCTGTACGCCGCAGCGGTCGACGACCCAGTCGTGGCGGTCAAAGGGCGGGGTGTAGCCCAGCAGGGTATTCACGCGCGCCTTGGGGGACATGTTTGTGCTGAGGCCGAGGAAAGAGTGTAGTTTGGGGCCGTCGCAGCTATGGGCTTGTGTTAGGTCTCTTCTACTTCGTTCTTTGATGGTGGACGGGCTGGATTGAATCTAGAACCATGGTAGGAGACATGACTTACGCTGTGCCTTCGAGGTAAGGCGCCTCCCACTCTTTAATTTCCTTCCACGCCCTCTCGTTGACGGCATTGTGAATCGGCACCACGGTCGCCATGTCTTGCGCGCGGGTATCGTGGCCCTTGCGCTTCATGGCGTCAAAGAACATCTTTTGGGAAGGGTATATCCAGTTCCCCGTCGCCTCGTCCGAGCCCGTTTCCTGCTCGTGGTTGGAGGGGCGGCTGGTGCCCGGGTACGCTGACGTCGCAGTCCTAGGAATCGTCGAGACTTCGCGCTCGGTGTCGAGGCCTGATTTGGCGGGTGTGGATGGTGGGAGGTCTGGTGTGTTTGATTGTGTGATTATTGCTGATGAGGTGAAGGGGATGTAGGACTTTAAGGACTGCGCCCATGATTGCGAGGGCTGTGGTGATGATGGCGCGGCTTCGAGAGTGTGGTGGGGGTGTGGTGTGTGAGGATTTGAGGAACCGTTCGCGGCGGAGGCGGTGCGGGCTTGTTCGAGCCAGGCTTCGCGGGATTTGTGGTCTACGGGACAGACTTCAGCGGCGGCATCGGCGGAGGCGGCGGGAGCTTGTGTCGCGGGGGCGTTCGTAGACGTTGGCGGCGGCGCCGAGGAAGAGGAGAAGGGCGTCAGAGACAGTAGAGACTGCGTCCAGGACGATGATGACTGCGCATCCTGGGACTGTGGTGACCCCGCCTGGGTCGGGGGTATCGGGTGCGGCGGGTGAGGAGGTTGCGCAGCGTCTGGGTTCGCGGCGCGGGCGTGCTGGAGCCAGGCTTCGCGGGCCTTGTGGTCGACGGGGCACGTCTCGGGTGCGGCGCCGTTGCTGGAGTCTGACATTGTGTGGTGAGGATGGTCTTCGTAGTCGATTGCGACGGAGGAGGATATGGTAGCTGCTGAAGGTTGGAAGCGGGTTAGGAAAACGAGGTCTACGAGATCGGCGTTCATTGTGGAGGTTTGGTATGTAGTTGAGTAAAGGTTGTATGGTTCATACCAGTCAGAGATATCCAGCAATGGAAGCCCTCGAAGAACGAAGGCAAAGAGATCTGATCCTTTATGAACCCCTCGATAGGTTTGGCGGCTTGATAGGTAACCAGATGCGGGACGGGGGCCTAGATCCAGAACCCGGGGATAGGGTTGCAGTGGTGTTTCTTTCTTTGTTTGTCTAGATCTTGGGGCGTCGTAGCTGGGAGGGGTCTTGCGACGGGAACCGCATTGAATGTCTGCGTTGGCGCAGCTGAAAGCCCAAGGGAGAGGGCGCGTTCGTTTCGTTGGTTCTTGGCTGGTTTCGTGAAGGGGGTTGATTCACGATTCCGCGACGAACGAGCGGGATGCAACGACTTTTTAGGTGGAGACTTTTTCTGTCTGTGTCTTCCATGCGCATCTGTTAATTTTTATTTTGGGATGATGTGATTGACGCCGTTTGATTGGGCGGTTGGATGATGGGACTGTCTGTCGGGTGCTTCCGATGACGCCGGGATAGCCACGGTCCATGGAAGCTCTGGCGGATTGATGTGTCAGCAAATTCCCGAGCTGCTGGATCCACGATCCGATATTCCACCGACAACCTGTGGCTCAAGCTATCAATATGTGGCTGGTGCATTTACACAGAGATCGCCTCAGTCAAGCCTGTTGATGCTATCCCTAGGATTTCTGCCTCGGTGAGCTTTAGTGCTTACTACCACGTGATACTACGTAGGTTCTCTCTACTTAGCATGATCTGTTGATGAAAAGAAAGTCGGAATAGATTCGTGCCGTCAGACTACCTTTAATTCTATTGATATTGCTGTTGGATGCCTTGGGTAAAGTCAAAATGCAAGCAACCATGTCGCGCCAGTTCAGACTCCCCCATCTATTCCCGCTATTCGTCGCAATCGCCCACGCCATCGGCGGCATCGTCCCATTCTTCGCCCAAGATGCTGGAATTCGTTCCTTCGGGCTGCCAGAAAGATTCGCAGAGTCACCCATAGCACAGTCGTGCTTCATCCTCGACGGCGCCCGCCTATCTGTCCTAGGGATGGTCCAGCTAATCATGTATCTTCGCGGGGACTACGTGGGGGTAGACATCGTCATGGCTTTGCTGGTGTACGTTGGGCTCGTTGACGGGTATGTTTGCTGGCGGGAGGGTGAGCTGGGATCAGCTATGTTTAGAGCCACGTCGGGGATTGTTATTGGGGCATGGGGTATGTTGGGATTGACTTCCAAGCTGTAAATAGTTTGAGATTACCTGTATTTCTCAGAAGGAAAGGTAGAAGAATCTGATTTAGATATACGATGTAAGTACCTGCAAGACGATATTTCCTCCAAGGCGGACCGAATTCCAAGGACATCTAGTCGTACTTTTGCTCCTGTGAGTGGCTATAGCCATTGTTCACATGTGTTTCTTTCCTCTGATTGTCTTCCATAGACCATGAGAGCCTCATAGTTGAAGCAACCGCAAAGCGGTCCTTGATATCATTGAGATTCATAAAATCATTGTACATCTAGACACGTACGGGTGCCATTCTGCACGGACCAGCAACCGACGTCAAGCCTCGGACACAGCTCACAATGCAAAAAATCGGTGGCTGAGGCTCCAAGCTCGGGTGGACGCTGGCAAGTCGGCTACCTCGGGAATTGACGGAAGCGGGTAGCTCAAGCCTCCAGGAATCTATCGGATGAATTTTACGTCCAAGCTGCCTTTTTGCTTAGGTGCCCGGTAGCTAACCTTAGGATACCTAGTTATAACACCTGCATGTGCCTATAGAAACAGACCAGAACTTCCCCATGGGCCAAGGGAAACCAAACGTGGCACGATTTCCCCAAGCTGTTCCCGGAGCTACGGACGCAGGGTGCGCGTTTCTCCAAAGCTGCGGGAGAGAGAGCCTATCACATGCGGGCCAACTAGGTGGTAAGCCGCGCCTGCTAAGCATTGGCTCGTAGTTCCGAAAGACGGTTACATTACATTAGCTGCAGGTGCTTCACATAGACTCTGAATAGTCTCAGGGAAGCATCATCACATGGGATTGATTTCAATGAAGCTCGGCTCGGCACACATGATTACGAAAAGAGTTCGGAAGATGTTGAAGTAAACTTGCTTTTATGCACGGGGTCTGTTGGTGTGGTGACGAGTCTAGACTATCGGTACAGGATCCTGACGTCGACGATAAAAGGAAAAGTTGAATACTAGGTATAGAAAATGGCCAAAGCAAGAGACAGGTCTTTGATGCCTGTGTCCGCTTGGGTGTTGGATGAACTCTCAGTAGAAACTCCCATAGTATCCCAGCAAAGCTTCTTACTTGACGGATGGGAATCGCTTCCACTGTAATGGATATCACGAAGCCGCCATAGTAAATCGCTTTTGTAACTTTTCCCTTGCCGTTGGTCACGAGCGTGCCGTGACGAATCAATATTGCCGACTGTTCCGTGTCCTGCCGAAGGCCCCAATCCCGGGAGCTTTTGTGGTCGGCGATCTACGCGGAGGGTGGGATGTCCACCGTCGCTGTAATCTCGTCGTTTCGTACACACGTGTTGTCATCGCCTACTTCTGTGAACCTCGCCAACTCTCCACTCCGTTCCGTCTCTTCCTCGTCTCCGCGCCATCATCGCTCATTTTTTCGTAGTCCAGCCCGCGGATGTCATGGTAAATAATGTCTCCCTTAACCGTGAGGTCACAAGGGCGCGTTCCGTTTTCCGTTCGTCGTTCCGACATCACACTCAGCCGAAGAGGGCAGCGCCGCCGGACTCGACAGCCTCAATCTCAGCCATGTCGAGGGGCTGGCGGCGGAAACGGGCAGGGAGCTCGGAGCGGTCGAAAGCGACGCCAGAGGGGGGAACGACGGAGCCGAGCTGGTGGCCGGTAGAGCCGCCTACGCCGGAGCCGATGGTGCGCTGGAGGGGACCGTGCTGCTGGGCGTGGTCGCGGTAGGAGCTGAAGCTGGTGTGCTTGGGGGAGGCGGAGCCGTTGCCAAAGTTGGCGGGAAGCTTGCCGGTGGGCGAAGCTGGGTGAGGCGCGGGGCTGTGGTCGATGGAAGCTGGTGAGGTCTTGTTAGTATCGTGGGAACGGACGTTGGTGAGGACTTCTGGTAGAGCAGACGTACAAGGAATGGAGCGGCGGCCAAGGAACTTGATGCTCGGGGTACGCTCGGCGTGAGCGGCGGCCTGGCGGAGGACTCTGGTAGCGAACATTTTGAGGGTATAAAAAATGAGTCGAGTGGGAAAGGTCTCGAAAGATATGCTGGAGTGGTGATTCCGAAAGGGTCCGAAGCTCGTCCGTTGGTGTGGGCGGTGGTGGACCGAAATGTGTAGGAGGGAAAACGAAGTTTGGTGGTTGAGCTCTCCTCCTCGCCTGTGATGATAAAGCTGGGGTGTGTGCGGTACGCGCTAGCGACGGGTATCAAGGGTGGTTATAAACTTTTGGGTGCCTGTGGCTTTTTGTGTATTTGACGGAAATGCAATTGGGGTGTCTGGCGCGTGGCAGAACTTTATCAGCAGGGAGGAGAGCGATTTGGTCGGTTTTGGTGTTGAAGGAGGGAAGAAAATGAAGAGGTGAGAAGAAGGAAGAGAGGAACCAAAGGCGGGAAGGCTGATATGGAAGGCAGACACGTCTTATTTCAGTAATCAGCACTGCACGCTGCACAGAGGTATGGGGAATTTTCTTCACAGGCCGAGAGACACCGCGCCGCCTCCGCCGCCGGCCGTGCCCGCCTGCTTCTGAGGTACCTCTACCATCCTGGCGGCGGCGTCTGGCGCTCTCTCACACACTCTCTACGCAGCAATGGTAGTTTTTTTTTTTCTTTTACTCCTCCAAGGTTCCATTCTGTGTTACAACGCTCGGTTGGGGGTTAGCTGGTGGGTTCACTGGGTTGGGTGTCGCTGCACGGCCTGCTCACCACAGCCAGATGGGCGGCTTCGGGAGGAAAGGCGACAGGGAACGGACAGGGAGGCAGGGGATGGCAGGCCGAGCTAGCGGTGCACGCTGCAATGTGCATGGTGCCATGGTGGTAATGGGTGGTGGAGGTGGAGGGAGAGGAGCACAGGAGCACAGGAGTACAGGATGAAGGCTGCAACGGAGGAGGGGAACAGACGATGGGGGTGAATCTTGTTCTCATGTCTTAGCGCGTCAGCCCCGAAACCCGAACCTCGGGCAGTGATTCCCGTTGTCAAACAAGTCTTGGAGTTTCTAGAGACTCTGGATGTGGTGTCCAGAGTTGCAAGCCCCGAGGAGACTCTCGGTTCGGCTGAGGAAAAGTTGCCATTGTCTCTTGGAAGTTGCAGTCCAGGCGAGGTTTGCTACATGATCAGAATCAACAATGTCCTCTCTTTCTCCCACATCTTGTTGCTATGGTCAATAGTTGAGCAGGAACATGGAGCTCCTCATGGGCTCTTGGGCTGCCATTCTCACGCAACTCGACCCAACTCGACTCGGTGACATTCGAAATCTTACAAACCTCCATTTCTAACAATCGTCTAATGTGCTCCTCCCCCGTTTCAGGCAATCTCCACAAACCCCAAGCGTCCTGGCTCGCGTCCCCAAGTTCCAACGTCGGACCGACCACGCCATTTCCAGACCACCTGCGGGGGACCTGCATAGGTATTGGACAATGAGACGCCGTCCACATTTGGGAACCCCGAACGCGTGGGAATCCAGCGGTCCCCGATCCCTTGCTTGTTGTCGGTCTTTGACTTGGGTCTATCCAGTCTCCAAAATGTCCTAACTCAATGACAATGATCTGTCTAGGACTCCAGATTCCAGAGCCTAGAGGTGTTCACTCTTCAACGAACAACTGCCCCTCCTCGTCGTCACTCCTCCGCTCTTCCGTCGAGTCGGAGCCCAGTAATTAATCACTCTGTTAACTAAAGTCTAACTAGTGTTAGTTCTCCGCCCTGAGTAGCCCTGACCGCTGACAGGACCTCAGTGACAGGCCACCGCCGCCGCCGCCGCCGCCAACCAGCGGACAGCCAGCCAGTCGCCGTAATGCGGGACACATTGATTTTACACGTGAATTGCACCTTATCTCTGAGCTCCCGCGTCATGGCACCGGCATCGAACCATTTTCCCCTCCTCCACCCATGCGAAAAAGTCTCCATGTCCCCATCGTACAGAGACAACGGGGACCAAAGTCCACACACACTAAATTCAAGAGTCGGATATCCGTATTCAGAATGTGAAAAACACACCGTCTCAGCCTTTTGGGGTATGTGATTGCAATTTCGTCTCTTGTGCTCAAAACCGTTTCTTGGCGGCGGCAACTTTCATATCTGCTGTAAGGAGTATCCTTTGTCTAGCTAGACTCTACCTAGATTACGGATACTTGACGTGGCCGACGAGGAATCCCACTCATCGAACAGACATTGTTAGAACCGCAGCATCGCAAACCCGGTCTCTTCTGAGCCAAGCAAAATTTCAATCTGCATTTCGGCATACCACCTCACCTAGGGCAATAAGCTCTCGAGGTCTGCCAAGACACATTTTCGTCCGACCTTTTGTGCGAGCGAAACCGAGCTCCAGTGGTCACCCTTGAACTTCCCCAGACTTCTGGCACAAGCCCAAAATCTGGAGATTAGACTTTTTTGCGACTCTGCAGTGTCTCTCCTGCTCTCCCTGGACTCCAATGTTTGTACACTGTCTTGACTGTCACTGTAACATGCTACCAACCCCCCAGGGCACTCGGCCGCGAGTGACAACAACTGCCGCGGTGTCCCGCGGTGCGGCGGTCGGTGTTCGGGATTTTTAGCCTATTGGTAGCTGTAGCCTGTTAGGCCTGCTTGGGATTCGGGAGATCAGTGATCAACATGGCGCGGGGAAAGGGAAGGGGGAAGGGAAGGGATGGTGATGCGACGACCCCAAGGGACCAAACCCATTGGCGAATTAGCAGTATTATCAATATTATCAATCAACTGAAAGCGCCGGGGAACGGTTCGCGAGGACAAAATGTCACATCCGGGGGAACCGGCGATACGCGATACTTTGGGGAAAACTGAGTGAACAAGACGAAGAAGGCAACTGTTCAGCAAGGAATACGCAGTCCTCCTCCATGCTTCCCGATCCCGGTCCATCCACACCGCAACACCCACGAAACCTCTTCACGCCCAAAAGGGACAGGACTCGCAGTGTAGGAGAGTCTCTTCGACGGAGATGGGCGCTCTGCATCGAACGATTCTGCGGGCGACCGGGACATGATCTTGAACCAGCCAGTTGGCACGAAACCGCGACCGAGACACAACTTCTTCGCTTCTCTTCAGGCAGAGCACGCGAGCAACAGAAAGAGAGGGTGTCCTCGTCAATGAGACTTGGTCTCGCTGATGTGCGAGCTCTCTGCCGGTCGTCACATCTGTACGGAGTACATCTGCCTCCCCCGGGCAGTTTTTGCCCAACACGGCAAACCCTTCCCACCGGATCTAAGCAAGCCCACCTCCAACTGAAGTCCAGCAAGCCGGACAAACCACAGCGAAGCCAGGAGTGACAGACAGAAAGACCAGCTGCAAGTTCAAACCCCCACGGCACGGACGCTGGGGAAGGAGAGGTGAGGTTGCAGCAGACGGCCAGCAGAGTGGACTTGGGATCCCGGGCCCTGCATTGCATTGCATCAGCGCCGCTTGCGCCGCTTGCGCGTGCGGCGCGCTGCTCTGTGTGCCTGTGTGGGAGTCTGTCTGCCCTTCCCGCCGGGGCCCTGGCCGGTTTGAAAGGGTTCTGGATGGTTACCGGGCCGGCTAACGAGGTAAGACGGCGCGAATTGCAAGCCGCTGGGCACGTTTTTTCCTTTCTTGGTGGGTTTTGGTCTCGTTGGGTTGCTTGTCTGTTACTAGTGTTGCCTCGACTAGAATTACCTTCTAAAATGGGCGGCTACTGTGAACCTTTGGCGTCTGTAGCTCTCTTCTGCATAGGAGAAGACGCTCGGCTCCGGTTCTTGCTACTTTTTCTTTCGGTACTGTCCTGTGTAGGATTTCTTGATCAAGAGCCTTTCCTGAATTGCGACTTGTGGATAGGGCTAGCTTTCCACCATCAGTGAACTGCCCGGACTTCTCTCTCTGCCAATGTCTCCATGATCCATCTCCCTCTCCAACCGATGACGTGCTCCCGAAATTAAAACGTCTATTCCCCCCTGCCTGCCGTCTTCAAGAACCGAAAGCCGGGTGTCGAACCATTCCCGGCGCGAATCGCGCTGTGGGATTGCCACTCACTATATCCGTAGCAGTCCATCCCGATCCCGGTTGTACGCAATAGCACACGGAGCACCCGCCGCACCGGAGGTGTGGACGTCTACTACGCAGTATGGTGGTCCGATAACGGCGGCGCGGCTATAGTATGCTAATTAACTTGATTTGCAAGGCGAGGCGGAGCGCGGAGCCCCCAAAGACACTGCACACAATGCGGCGATTCGTGCGGCTAGGGAAAAGAATTCTTGAGGGTCCGCTTCAGGAAATGGGAAACGCTGAACCTAGTCCCCTGTCGCGCTTCGGGCTGCCTTTCCTTTTTTTCCCTCTTGTCTAGTGGCCTGAATTGGGCAGGCTGCGATGCGATCGGAGCCGAATTGATCTGCATGTCTCCGTTCTGGGGAAGATGATCCTCGGGATCTGTTTCCCGTATTGTCGCTGTCGCTGTTTCGAATTTGGAACTGCTTCATCCCAATTTGGTGTTCAATTCCCATACTCCGTGAGGACATGGTGCAGTCTTTGTTGTTGCTAACTTGCTGCGAACGCCTTTCTGCCTCGACCAGCTCCGTAATAGGAGTATGTTGCTGGAAATGCACAATGATGTCGGGTTTCGGACATGACCTGGTACGGTCTTCATTCTATTCGACATGGCAAAGGAAGAACAAGAAAGGAAAGGTCGGACAGCCTAAGAAACTTCGAGTAAAGATTGCAACTCAAGGTCACAGTACTTGCATCCTCCTTCTCACCATCGTTCATCAGCCAGACAGCCCTTTGCTTGGTTGTTGTGACATCACTTTCCATCGCAAACAAAGTCCAGTGTACATCGAATTGAGTTGTTCGCAAAAGTGACTGCCTCAGATCGGGAAGAGGGTCACAGGTATCATCAATCATACATCATGAATGTCATCCATCCCAATCACCTAGTTTCCCTTGAGCCAATCATTGTCTCAGCCATTGTCCCTTTGTATATTCCATCAGACTACAGCTCCTTCTTGTCTTCGAAGCCAATGCTGATACGCGGAGCAAAGGCGTCTAGGTTGGGCTCGTTGACATCCCAGCCCGCCTGCTCAAGTGCCTTAGAGTCCAACTTCTCGTTACTTCCGCCAATCTCGATCTCGTCCACGGGAATAGCGCCGTGGAGTAGCTTCTGACTGCCAGTCTTCGAAGCCAAAGTTCTATCGTGGGCGAGCATGGTAGCGTAGTACCATGCCATGAGGGTGTCGATGTCGTTCGCCTCCGTGGGGGACTGGTCCCCCAGGAGTAGGATTCTGATCGTAGCGATGTCTCCTCTCTCGCAAAGGCAAAGAATGAAACCCGGATGAGCCTTCTGACCTGCCTTCTCGGTAGACTGCTGCTTGGGCGTGACAAAGCGGACGCGAGCGCTCTTGGGGTCCGCAGTCATGGCGTGGGCATAGCTCTTGGCAAAGCCAATCTTGGTGATGACCTCCCCGCGATGATCCTTGATAACGGGCGTCCAGAAGACGATACTCTCGCGCGAGGCGACCTGAGCGGGGGAAAGAATCTGCTTCGTCTGCATGTAGTGCTTGAAGAGGATCGTAGCGCGTTGCTGGTTGAGGACGTTGAGCTGAACGCAGCGGACCCCGAGGTAATTCATGCCGAGATGGACAAAGACGAGCACGACCATGAGTGCAAAGACGGCTTCCCTACTCTCAACGTAGCGAACGACGATGGAGCCCACGAGCAGACCGACGAGACCGACAGCGGTCTCCTGAGATGCCTCCTTCGCATTGAGCTCGCTGAGGTTGTTGCGACGAGCAAAGTGCTTGGAAAGAGCGGCCTTACTGGCGCCTGCAGCAACGCCACACATTGCGCGAAGAGCTTCTGCGAGAACGAGGGCGAGGACTTTGGTCCAGGGGTCGAAGTAGGGGCTGAAGAGGTCGAG